TTGATGTTATATCTCTTCATGTCTGCCCAACCAATCAGCATGCAGGGACACTTATGATATGTCCCGTGTCAAGTTATTATTTATAGCTACAAGGTCTGGAGGAGCCAGTTTTGATGGAGGGCCTATACCAACACACAGGCACCTGCTTTTAAACACACACATAAAAGCAAGGCCTGGCAGGAGCCTCCGTCCTGTGTTGTCTGTGTGCTCTGCCACCTAGTGGCTGCTTGGGATGCTGCTGCTGCTTCCTGTGATCACTGTACCCTCCACACCTGCTGTACATCTCAACCACAGTATCATCACATGGGCTCCATATGATACTGTCGCTTTCTGTCTAAAGCTTCAACTTCTTTAACTTAAAGAAGATGAAGCAAATAATGTAACAATCTTACGATGCCCTGGTTAGATCAGACAAAGAGCGTTTATCAGTTCAGAAACATTTGTGCACATGTGCAGGTACGCTTTGTCTCTTTAAACGTGTTCCCAATCTCAGTCTTACTTTTACAAAATCATTCACATCATAAATAACTCATTTATGTAATTTGACGTATTCCAGCTTTGTTTTTCAAACCCAGGATGTCTTGTCTGATATAAGTCCATTGCTGTCTCTCTCTGGCTCTTTGGCTTGTCTACCAGGCCCAAATAATGTTGGAAGAATATGACATTGGAACGTCTTTGATAACGATGGTTTTATAGAAACTGTTGCAGTTCTTCATTTATCTGGTCAGTTAATCTTACTACAACTTTATTTTGGGATGCTTGTGTTAAGGCTACCAACTAACCTGTAGAAGTTACATGCCGAATAATTTATTTATGATATGTGAATAATCAAATGTTCTATCACTTATTTATCTTTAACATTAGTCATGACAAACTCTGCATGGTGGTGGTCCTAATTTTGCATTCCCTTAACATTGCGATATCGTTGTTGCTGCAATGCATTGTTCTGCACGACTCTTTAGTTGTCACTCTGTCTGCCCAGCAGTTTTCTGTCTCTCTTTGCACCTGTCTGTCTTCCTTGCCTTCTGTCAGGCCTGTTGTATGTCAGTAAGTGTGGCTTCCTGTCTGTCCTCCGGCCCAACTGTGTTCTTATGTTTCTTTGTCTCGTCTTTCTACCTGTCAGGGCCGTTACTCGTCAGTGAGCATACAGGTCTGTTTGTCCGTCCGCCTGTCCTCCAACCTGTCCATCTCTTATTTATTTATTTATTGTCTTGTCTGTCTCTGTGGTATTCGGTGTTGGTCGGAGGCCCGGCTGTTGAGCTTCACTGTAAAGTGCTCCGCTGATTGGAAGGGACATTTTTCCAATGGCGCTGCGCTGCCTCTAATATTCTGTTTGTCGTTGGGTGTGAGGCTGATTTATCGCGCCTCCTCTCCTGCTGACATTCAGATTCACTTTGATTGGCGGCTGCACTGGAATGACACCCACCACTACACCGCTACCATCGCTCTCTCACACACACACATGCATGCACAAACAGTCAAATGTGATGTGCTGCTCACTCTCAGCCAGGTAAACAGTGGATAAGAATATGCCTATTACGCCAACACAAGCCCACATTTAGACAGGAAGACATGCACTTGCATACATATACTCACTCTTAAACTCTCACAAACACACACAGACTAAGTGGATAACTGTTGTGTTGACCTCTGTCTTCGGCATTGCTTGTTTGTAAGTGTTGTATTGAGTTTATTGAACAACGTGGGCAGACTGCTTCTCTTCTGTTGTTCTCTCACCCCACGAACTCTATAATATGGTACCCTTTCTAATACTAACTGTACTCGGCCTAAGGCCCAAGCAACTGCACTGTGCTGAATAACATCTCTCTCCTTCTTTTTCTCACCCTCTGTCCCTCCCTTCTCCCCCTTCAATCCGTCCTTAATAACTCTATAACTCACCTCGGCCTTAGATTTAATTGCTTATCTGTGTGTAAACGTATTAACCCTCTGCTGTATCTGTTTTGCTGCCGTCCCGGGGGCCCGACAAGCCTCTCTGACTGCCGTGCCTTACATCCAATGAATAGTCCTTCTCTGAGTGGTAATAGGGAATCAGCATCGTAGCAGCAAGCATTGGCGGCGTGTAAGATATAAATCAGATTGGGGGTCTTGCTTTGCCAGTTTATTGAATCTAAATTGCGTGCGCGCTTGGCCCCCGCCGGCCCTACACGGCCCATCCATCTCCCGGCTGATAATGGAGCGGGCCCGATTCCACCTGGTGGGAGCATTATTACATTTCCCCTCTAACGAGACCCAGCTAATCCTGCCAAGGGAGGACGACAGGAGAGAAGAGAGACGAGGAAAGAAGAGAATAGGAGAGCAGAGTGAAGGAGGGTGTTGGGGGAGAAGAGGAAAAATGGAGGAGAAAAGAGATAGAAGAGGGGATTCTGTTAAAAAAAGAAAGAATTGCAAGCATCCTGGCAGCCTGCCCTGTCCCTCCCACTCTCCATCTTTTCCTCTTTCTCACTTTCTTCCTCTCTGTTGCTGTGCATAAAACATCTTCTAGCGCCATCAGAGCTACATGGCCCCTGGGCCCCTGAGCTGCAATTACACTCATAATCACAATGTGATTTCACTGACGCTCGCCGCCCTTCCTGCTGCCATCCCTCCTCTTTCCCTCCACCCCTGCAGCCAAGACTGAACGAAGTCTAAATGAAGTGAAAGGCCTCTCCTCTCCCCAACACCCGGCCGTTTATTACCCGCTTTAATAAAAGTCCATCACAGAATTATCCTACAATGAACTGGAGCCACTTAGTTGCCAAGAAATACACTTCCAATAAGCGTCCTCTGCACACATGCATGCCTATATTTCTAAATAGGCACAAGAGTGAGACTTCATTCTGTTTTACATGTAACTGTAATGTTAACAGGATTGTCATGATAGTGCAGCTAAGTGTGTTGCTGTAATGTATTGTTTTGTAGTTTATATATTTTTTTAAAGCAGAGCTCTTTATTGATGTAATTAAATCGTATCCCAGGCTCAGCGCTCAGGCCTACTTTCATTGTTTTGAGGGGGCAGGAGCCCCTCGAGGCAGCGCACTGATGAGAGATGGATAAACAGTTTGATTTGCTGCTATCGCCCCCAGGCACAGTGTACTGGAGAGATGAGCAAGAGAAGCAAGAAAAAAGACAGGGAGGGGTGGGAGAGGGCAAAACAGAAGGAGAGAAGAGAGAGCGAGAGGATAAGAGGACCTGTTGGGGGAGGGATGAAGGGATAGAGGTGGAGGATAAACATGCAAACAAAAAGAGGCGACAAATCACTCCTGTTGTTTGTGTGCACGGCAGGCAAGGCTTTTTCTCTTATTTCTGCTTGTTTGTCCGTTTCCCCTCGCTGTCAGTTCTTCCTTTTTCTTACATGGCCCCCATCTATCTGCCCATCTTTTTTCCCCTCCTCTTTCTCCCCCGTTCACTCCCCACTGCATCACACCACCAATACTGCTTGTTTTCCTACCTGCCTCCCTGTAGCCCCGAGCAGAGAGGTAACTGAAGAACACAGAGAGTAGTTTGCTTACAAACACAGGTGCACACACACACAAATACACATCTGTGCATACAAACAAGAAAAAGTCATGTATGTATTTGCAAAGAGATGCAGCCCACGGTCGAAGTTTTAGCTACACGCACGCTCACTAAGTTATGACTAATTAACTAAGAGAAACAGATTGGTTGCTGTTGATTTGGTTAAACATGGTCCCACACACACACACACACACACACACACACACACACACACACACACACACACACACACACACACACACACTAGCTGAGGGAGGTGGAGGAAGGTTCAGTCATCCATGTAGAGTCATTGTCAGCAAAGATGCGTAACCTCCAGACTTAACCAGCCGTAACAGCAGTGTGACGGTTCTTTGTCTACGCCAATTACTGAACAAAAACACCAGCGCAGTCACAGAGAGACGAGCACAACCCGTGGCCTCCTGCATCCAAACACACACACACACACACACAATGCATGTATCTTTATGTTAGTTATTTGCTTGCAATGCGAATTCGAGCATACAATCAGACACGTAGCGAGGAGCGTTCACAAAACACACATGCAGGCATCTCAAGTGGTGCAATAAAGTACATTCGGACACCCACAGCTGTGCCCTAACACAAACATTCTGTAAGCGCTGCCAAACACTTACACCCACTCTTATATTGTATTAACTTCCCCAAAACAGTGCAGGGTTCTCTTTCTCTCTCTTCCGCTCGCTTTCTTCTTCTATTTCTCTCCTCTTTTTTTCTCAAAGTTTAAACTCATTAAGTGTAATGATATTGGAGACTCAATTTTACATAGCTCACTCATCAACCAAGTGAGATAGCAATAAAGGCGAATGGCTCCGCCGAGGCCTTAACGCTGCAAAATAAATGATGCGCCGCAACGGAAATGTAATTAATTTAGAGGCAGTATTGATAGTCCTGCCATACACAGCATTATATTTTTTAATGTGGCTTAACATCTTGATTATTCAGGGGGAAAGGCGGAGGAAAAGGGAGCCGAGACAACACGGCTCACGATGAGAGATGCTTAAAATGCCCTGACGAGTGTTTACTCCCGCAGCCTCACTTTCTCTTAAGCTTTTCATTATGCTGAGACGATAAACACCTCTCAGGAAGACTCGCTCACTTTTACAGGGGTATGAAGGGAAAAGCAGAGAAGGAAGTTGCCTGCTAGATAAAGGAGAAAAACACATGAATTCATGAATGTTTATCCAATGGTGTGTTCCCGAGCAGCTTCCTTCACGTAAAGAAAACACAGTATTTGGCACAACCTTTGTACGTTATGCTTACACATGTTTTCAGCTTTAAATACTTTTCCTTTATTGATACGTTTGTTTTTCTTTTATCTTCAGTACAATATTAAATCATGTATCCGATTGTATTCCTTATTATCTAATTTAATGTATCTACAAATGCTATACATGTTGACATAATTCAATCACTGCGATGTTCCTAAAGTGATGCATTGCTGATAACACTGCGCTCTTTCATTTCAGCTAAGACAGACGAGGTGCTGAAGGCCAAAGTAGCCAAGAGAGAGGAGGAGGCCCGGAAGAAGCTAGAGGATGGTGAGTGTGCTCAAAACATGAAACATAAACTGTAATGAGACAAGCAATATGTTCGATTTTTGGAAAGATAACAGTTGAAAGAACTAAAGATTTCAAGGTTTGCTTTATTTTTTGTTTTGTGTGCCATCAACTTTTCAATAATATAACCTGTATCAAGTAGCGGCAGATAAAAAAATACATACATCGCACAACTTCTGTCTAAAGAAAAGAAATTCTACCGTGTGAGCAACACAATATTTGTATTACTTACTGAAAACCCTGACAACCCTAATATTTCTCATTTACGGTACTTTTGTAGTCCATGCCCTTTCTCCATGTTGGTGATTTGACACACTTAAACACATCTATAATAAACGTAAGCACCCTTGTCTTGTAAACAATAACCTTTCCTTCGCAGTTCATCTGTAATTTGCAAAACATGAATTTACAGAAGCTGCTTACACTCCTTAGTTTTTATTAAGACAGCTGCAATCTACATAAAAATGAATTGGCAGAAACGTGCTTAGCATTGCAGGCTGTAAATCTATCCTGACAAACTTGAAACCCCCCCCCATTACCACAAATATAGGACACACACACACACACACACACAGATTATCTCCATACACATTTAAGTAAAGTCGAGAGTAATTTGCAGTGGATATGCTAGCAGTAATAAAGGTCCATAGACAGTAATGACCCTTGTCTATTCCCTGACCAGAGCATGACATCAATGAGAATATCAAACAGGTTGTGATCAACCACACTGTGTGTATGTACATGCACACTCGCAGGCATGTGTAGTAGCATCATTTGTTCTAGTGTGTGTCTTTTTTATATCGCTGGATTGTCTGTCCACTCTTTTTTTCTATGTATCGAGCAGTGTGACCTTTAAAGTTAGCTGACCTTTTAGACAAATGAATGTCCAGCCATCAGAAACTAATTAGCCTGCACTCGTGCTTTGGTCCCTCCGTTCTGGGAAGAATGTATCCCCTCCTTCTCCTGATTGACCCTTTTTTTTCTCAGTCTCTCTGCACCATTCTTACATTTATACTACTTATTTTTCTTAGTCTTATCGCAGTGCTTCGTCTATTGTTCTCATCAACCGTTTCCATGTATCCTGCCCTTCTCTCTGGGTCTTCTCCGTCTCCTGCTTCTCTCTGCTCTGTGTGGAAGCATTGCTAAAGTGGTGACTAAGTGCCTCGCTTGGGGCAACAGCAAGATTCCCTATCAAAAAGCTTTCTTAAGCTAAGTTCACACTCTACTGTTGCCTCTTTTTGGATTCAGTTGACTGTTTTGCTCAAAGCTCCCTCCTCCCTCACTCCAACTGTTCGAACTGTGTGAAATGAAGTGTTGTGTTTTGTTGTGTGGAGCGGTGCTGTACAACATGGTGTTCAGGCGCTGCTTTCAAAGACGATCATTTTATTCCTAACCTTCACAATGACTGACGCATGGAGAAAGATCAGATAGGCTCGACATAGTTGTCCTGATGACCATGTCTTGGTAGTGAGAGAAGCCATTGAGAGAAGTCATTGCCACGGTACACATTAACACCACATCTATACAAACAGACCCAATCTAAGTCAGCCAGCTTCATGCTCTTCTGCCCTTCTGCCCAGCTCAACTAAAATGGAGGACCGCCAGGGGTCTCCGTGTTTCAGGGGTCAACACAACTAGAGAGTTTACACTAAAACCGTTAAGTCGAATGAAATGAGAAAACCTTTAAAGAGAGCGAAGGGGAGAAGTGAAGAACACTACCACCTACACTCCTTGTTCATAAATAGATTCTCGTCCTAGACTGGCGATGTGTTTGAGTTAGTTTAGCCCTAATCGAAACCACCAAGATCTGATTCATGTGAATGCTCTGATATGCAAGCTATTATTGTAGCGAACTGTAGCTGCATACTGCAAAGCCCTGCGAGAATACAGGGTTTTTTTATCAGCAGGGTTTACTGAGAGAGAGAAAGGAGAGGATCAATAACTGACCCTGTGGTCATCAGTTAACAAAGTAGTCTCCACTTAAAAAGAGTGTTTGGCTCTCTGGTTAAGGGCAGCCAGATGATGCTAGTGGTTGAAAAAGGAAACAAGTGATATGAAAGAGTGTGTGAATGAGAGGGGAGGATGGTTCCTTTGTTAGTTGCATGCCTTGTTTAGGCTATTAAAGCTGAGAGATGTTGTTTGTGTGCCCAGGAGGCTTTTAGCTAACATAGTGTGTCCAGCTATAATAAGAAGGACTGACTGGCAGTGTTACAAAGTCTGTTTGTGTGGACTGTGCTATCAGTTGGCACTTTACTGAAGGCAGTGTTTTAGCCCAAGTAACTGTGTGGTGGTACTACTGTATGTAAGGCTGGATGATAAACTAAATATAAAGAATTACGGATATTAGCAATCTCTTATCAGCCTTAACTTAATGACTTGACCATAAGTGTTTCATTATAGTCCGATCCGAGCAATGCTGCCAACTCATTTTTCTGTTTAACATACTTGTGTTGTACTTTTTAATAATATAACTGACGATAACTTAAGCAACCATTGCTGGTCACACTTTTATTAAACAGGACAAATATATAAGAAGTGAGTCATCATAGGAAAGGGAATGGATATGGCTGTAACGTAAATTATTTACAGTTGTTTTTGATGTAGTGTTTTGTCTGTTAATGTATGGTGAGGAATGCCCTTTATTATTTCCCAGCGCCCTTCATGATTTGAATAATTAAATGTTTAGCTTTATTCAACTTAACATAATCTAAGATTCAGAAAAATAAATAAACTGAGATATATGGCAGGAGCTTAATGCTTTTATAAGACCCTGTTTGAATTGCCCTTGCTTTTCTTAATGTACTAAATGTACAGCAGAGTTAAAGAGAAAGTTAACACGTCAACCAGTTGATGTGAAAATTGGTGTCAAAAGCTTGATAACCTCGGTTCATTCCCACACACTCGTTCGTGTGTCGTTCGTGAGGCACTGACAGAAACATCTTTTCATTTGTGCAGCCACTCTCCGACACAGAATTATGCAGATATGAATTGGACACAAGCCTGTAGCCTGCGGATGGTATTTCAGCCCTTATGCCGCTCTGTCCCCATTACCTCAAACCACCACCAGATTGGGAGATCATATATTTTAATGAGACGTATAATAGCTCTTTAACCCATATCATTAGGGGAATATATACCTACCGTTTGCTCTTTTGGCAGTTAAACGAAAGGACTGTTTCCCTAATTACGCGGTGTGTAGGACAGGTCACGGGTTGGGTGTGTACCTGTCTGTGTGTGTCTGTGTTCGGGAATTATATGACCATTAAATATTCAGCCGCAGACCCCCTCCCGCTCACTCTCCCCCCCCCTCACTTCCTCGACCTAGCATCCATTAACGCCTCATCACCGTTTAACTAGCTCTGTTGTCAATCACCATAGAGCCTCTGCTGAATCAAAAAAGGTCTGGATTTGGTTTCTTGCCTTAGTCGTTCAACATATATAAAAAGGAAAGAATACACATATTTTCCTACTGTAGGATGCCTCAGTCAAATCAACATAAGTGACATATCATTCAGATGATATGTGTCATTTGTTTGAAATAGTATTTATTTTGGAAGTTGTGACAACATGCTCAACTACACAATTTGTAAGTCAGCAAAAATGTCCGCGCTGCATGCAAGCGTCTGCGTACAATAGCAGTGTGGGTGTGTGCTTCCATAATAAACGATGTGATCCCTTTTATAATTGAAAATAATAACTAATCCGCGGATAACAAGCTCTTGTATAATCCAAAGCCATATCCCTTCAGTTCTGGCCTATCTCGGCTGTAATAAAAGACAGGAAATGAGAGGCAAGTGAAAGTGGTGGCTTGGACATTGACGCTTAATGTAATCTGCCTTGAAATCAAATTATTTGACCTGGAAAGCCTAACAATACAAAACTCCTGCCGGGCTGCTGTTAAATATTTAGCACGTGCCTGTCATGAATACAAATGGTGCGCAAATTAGAATCTACAGGCGCGTGACCCCCATATCACACCCCGGGAGCACAGGGGGGCTGGCTCTGCTTTAAATGTTTTAATTACCGAGGCCATGGAGTGGCGTGCCACGCTACCTCGCCGAGCAGCACCGGCGCTGCTGAGGCTGCCACTTGAAGGACAAGCGGTGAAATGTATCTGCTGGTAAACACAAGTGAACTGGTGTCCATGATCTCATCACATTAACTAAAACATGGCGATTCAATGAGGAGAGTGTCTGAATTAATACCAAGCTATAATTATAGTTCCCAGCATCCTCTCTCAGGTAGAACTATATACTTTTTTTAAACTGTATTCTTCCCAGCGGCTATATGATCTACCTCAGGGCTCCAGGGAGGCACTGTATTGCTCTTGTGCACTCTGCGCTGAAGAAAGATCTGTCTCAGTGATTTTGATGTAAGAAAATCTGGTTTGTATCGATTCGGTATTGATTAGTGGAGTGAGCCTCATCTCCTGTCGTTACTTTAGATAAATGGTCTTATTTGTTGTGTTATTATGTTCAACACAATCATGCCAGGAACAGTCAGAGGAATATTGAACCGACACTTCATTGGCTTTATGGCGTCCATTTGTTCCAGGAATTAAAGGATGTTTTTTTTTGCTTGTATAGCTCTGCTGAAAAAGTGTAATAGAGAGCACGTTGACAATCAATTTCCCTCTAAAGGACTGTATTTGAACAGAACCCCACCGAAGAATGTCCCGCACTCATTTCTGATTTTTGTCCTGCCTAAATAATAATTGATTTCGACATGAATAGTGCAGTCTAGCCATATCTCTTCTTTATTTCATCCTCTTTCTCAATTCATTCAGGTTTTGTGGTTGCCCCCACGTTGAAATGATTAGTTATGCAAGGCTTGTAAGCACTGAATCAGAGTTATGGTCCCTGGGGAAATACATTTGGCAGAAAATCAGTGTGAGAAGATTTAATTATCACGAGGAGACCTTTTTTCCTTGCCTTGGCCCAATGAAGCCCAAACCTCTCCTCCCTCTTTCGCTCTCTCTCTCT